AGGTAGGAAGGATTTATCTTTGGTCTCCACGCCTTTGATGGTTTCTTGCCTGATCTGGTTTACTTGGACTGTGTCAGTGAGGGTTGCATCATACCAACAACCAAGACTTTTGATTGGTTTCTCTGTCACTGTTGGTAAGGGCTCATTGTCGATGTGAAAATGTAGCTTGGACAGCTTCCCCAGACAGCTTCCCTCAGACAGTTGATAGGCTCCTGGACTTGCCTGGCTTTATCTTCAGCCGGGCCCTCTTGATGTTTTATTGGAGCTTCCTCAGGAGTCACCTAGTGAGTGGTGGTGAGTGTAGTCAGAAATGACATGACAGGTGGTGAGCGTCATCCATGTATACCTTGAATGGAGGCAGCCGAAGACCAGGTTTGAGTTGTTCCACTACTACCACCCACTGCAAAGCCCGAATGATGACCTCCATTGGCCATGATGAAGGCTAATGGAGAGATTGTGCATCCTGCCATAATGCCTATTTCCAAATGCTGCCATGCCGTGGTGTATTTGTCAGTTGTAAAGCGAGCTGTATGTCTTGAAAATAGGATTTTACAAGGGCTGTTATTGGTTACGGAAGATTGAAATAGCTGAATGCAATTCTGCCATTGTTAATAAGTGGTGAAGAAAGTGGCATAGAAACCCCACTGCCAACTAGCATTTTTGCGGCATAATTGTAGAGCACAACACACCAGGCGCAAGTAAACATGCTCACAATGGCCTAGGCCACTTGCGTAGTGTAAGGGGTAGACTCTGTGTAGATTCAATGCAGAACCATAAATAAAGCTTAATAGTAAACCCCAAGTAACCTCCTCTGTAGCAGGAGGTGAAGCAGAGGGTTCTTAATGTGGACAAACATCCTGATGGGATTAGTTTGACTTGTCAGATAAGTGTCTTATGCTGTTGTGTTTGTGTGTGTGTGTGTGTGTGTGTGTGTGTGTGTGTGTGTGTGTGTACCTGTAGCTGATTGAAGAGCAGAACAGACTGTGTGTGATCTGAGTGATGTCCTCTACCTCTTATATAAAGGTCAGAAAGGTTAGTTTGAGTTCACACGTTCCAATTTGTTGTCCCTCTTTCTCTGATAAAACTGAACCTGTTGTTCCTTTATACATGGATTGGACACAATAACAACAATTGGTTGTGTGGCACATGATACTCATTACATTGCTCACTTAGAAATTTAATTGTTGAAGCTGTGATCTGTGTTGTTGAATTACATTTTCCCTAGACAGTAGCATTTCAACAGTGCTCTGTTCACATAGAGATAGTTCCACAGAGCCAGTGCAGAATCAGCGGCAACCAGCTGATCCTCTTCCCAGCCCCCTGGTGCATCACAGTTGGGCAACCCTCGGTCCTCCAACTCAATTTATCAGACTAATATTTATTTCTTTTCTAAATTTAATTCATATCTCAAGCAAAACTATGTTGGCATGAACAACCACATTTCCTGAATTAATTGAATTATTTGCTATATTAATTTCATATTTATTTGTTAAAGAAAAGAGGATTAATTCTGCTGTGTGTCAGACCTGATTAAATCTTTCTGAGGTATCAAGCCTAGTCTGTGACAGTGGTGGTCAGACCTGCTGCTAAGGAAAACCTAATATTGGAATCAGAATCAGCTTTATTGGTCAGGTGTGACGGGCACATGAGGAATTTGACTCTGGTACATCGGCTCTCGATGTACAAACAGTAAACCAGCATAAGGCTGCGTAATATAATAAAACAAGTAGTATTAGCAGCAACATTGATAGCAACAAACAGTGCAAACAATGCAGAATAAGCAGTATAAACAGACACTTAAAAACGCAGACAACAAAGGAATGTTCGTTGAAATGAGATAAATAGGGATAAAAACAGAGTACTTAAGAACTAGAGACCTGTATGAGTCTGTATAATCTGTACAATGTATATTTACAGGTATTGTACTGAGGGTTATTGTCCAATCATACTGTCGTTGTTTAAGTGTTCATCAGAGTGATGGCCTGGGGGAAGAAACTGTCCCTAATCCTTTGATGATGATATAAAAACATAAAGGCTATGTGAATCCCTGCTTTTATTACTGTCAGGTGTGGTTTTAATTGTAGACACCTGAACATTATAAAATAATAAAGCCCTGACAAAGTAGGGGAGAGGTCCAGCTACATAATGTAAAACCCTAGAACAGGGGTGCTAAAAATTGTGACGTCACCCTCCTGTCGCAAAACCATAAATCACTCAACTTCACACCTCACTTTGAGAGAGTCCTTTTGTACTTTTTAACATTCATTCTTTTCCTTGGTGATAATCTCAACCCGACATCCACGTACAGTACTAATTGTTTCCAGAGCTTTCAAACACAGTTATAATGCCCCATGTAACCTACATGTAGGTTTGAGATGCTCTCATAGGTGGCTCCATATACTGCAGAGGGAGAATATAACAATAATTAATACTGGTTATCATACTAAAGCTGGTTGTAATACATAAACGGTAATTATGTATGTTACAATAAATTTAATTTCTAAATAGAAGAGTTTGAAAGCTCTGAAGGGTGCTAGTAGGTTATTACAGTAAATGCTAGTAAGAAATAGTTCATTTGGGAAATATGCTTATCCGCTTTCTTCTCAAGAGCTGGATGAAAATGTTGATACCACTCTTATGTCTGGGCTCCAAATATGAAGCTATAGCCCACAGTTGGTTAGCTTAGCTTAGTAAAGGATAGTTTTTTGTTTGTTTGTTTCAGAGTGTGGATACCTGAGCCAAGCTCAACATCACCCATCAGTATCCAAGGGTTCGGTCCAGTAGATAAAAATGTATAAACTCAACTGTGTGAGGTTCGGGTCAGGTTGGGACATTATATACTATAAGCTTGTCAGGTCTGGGTCGTGTTCGGATGCCACACTCTCAGGCATGGGTCAGGTTCGGACAGAAATATGCAGCCCGATCCATGCTCTGATTTGTTTCCTAGAGTCTTGTCATCAACACAAGGTTGCCAGGCATTGAGCAAAGGCTCCAGCAAGTTCAAAGGACCTGGCCAAGAAGGTCAGGTACTGTAAAACCACAGTGTGTCATTTTTATACTGCTTTTTTCATAGACAATATATAAATGGTGTGTTTTACAGGAGCTGGTCAGCACATTTTATTACCTTTGGACAGAGCGATGCTGGCGATGCTAGTTGCCTCCCACAATCCTTATGCTAAGCTAAGCTAACTGCCTACTGTAACTTCATGTTCACCATAAAAACATAAAAGTAGTATTAATTCTCATCTAACTCTTGGCAAGAAAGAGGATAACTGCATTCCTAAAAATATCAAAGGATGCCATTAGATAACAAATACAAGTGACTATAATGTTACTTCATAAAAAAAGATCATGACACAAAAATAAATCAATATAGTTTACATTAGATCGCATATTCACAGATATTCACTTTTTTCATATTTTTCTTTTTCATGTCATTTCAGTTCCTACTTTCATGATTAAGGTGACATTAAAGTCGACAGCCTTTGCCTACAAACCTACATTTGTAAGTTTACAAACCTGACATGTTTGGAGTGGATGCCATTAAAGTGAAGGTAGTGAATGAACATTGATCTCTTTCACTGTGCTGTGCTGGCCACTAAATTTGCCATTTCCTCCTTGGGCAGTTTTGTGTAATTGCTTGCTCAAGGACTTCTCAGGCCTGATTGCTTTAACCCAGAAGCTCCATTTGTGTTTGTCCTTGTTAATGCCAACCTCTCGAGGATAAAGCTACATGTATTCTTCTTAGACAGTTTGCAAATGAGACTTGAATTCTGCCTAATATTTGCGCACTCTTTTATTAGTGAATTTCTGCATTTACATTATTAATACCTGTCTTTCGGGATCTTACTCTGCAAGACTATTAGGCATAACCTGAGTATAATTCTTGAAAGCATCAATTCTGTTTCTAATGCTCACAACATTCTGACATTCAGACTCTCAGTCTGCACATCAGTGTGCTGTCATAGAGATGTGAGGAAACAGTGAGCTGCAGTGCAATAAAACACTGTTGGTGATTGGCCCAGAAGTCTTCTCAGCCTGTGCTTTCCTGCACTGAATCAGCCAACATTAGCTGAAACAGCATCTGAGCACAGATTCAGTGATGTACCTGTGTCCTACAAAAATAAACACACATGCTAGCACACCCATGCAGTCATTCACCCTGACACATGCGCATTCACACGTACACACAAGCATACTGATGTCCTCCATTATTTACACCAAGGTGTATCTGCATGCAAATGGCCCATTCCAAGACAATCTGATCACACAGTGGAGGCTTCGCCTGGTCTGTTACTTTGCTCGGTGAGAATATCGCCGGGGCGGAATGGAAACTTCATTTTGCAGGGGCTAATATTAGCCTGGGCCTCTGGAAAATTCCTTTTAAATGATCACAAGCTGAGAAAAGGCAAAGAATTTGTTTAGCGTTTTGCCTGACAGTATTCTCTGCATACACGGCAGTTTGTTTATTTTATTTTTCTGATGGATCAGCACACAGGAGGGTCCTGGGAACACAGAAGTGGAGGGAGGGAGCTAAGGGGTTCATGTGATGAAATTTAGGACTGTTTATCAGTCAGCCAGTCTGTCTGTCTGTCTCTGGCTGGTGACGTTTCTGCTGGCAATTGATAACTGAACTACCATGTCTTGCATCCTCCTTGTCACATGGAAAACAGTTGCTCTAACATATCACTTTGTGTCACCTGCTGTTTGCGATTTGGATTGTCACACTGCTGGAATACATACTGCAACCTTAGTGTTGTGTTAGTGTCAACACCATCTGACATGAGTGAGCTACTGATCCTCTTTCAGAGTATACCATATAAAGTATTTATATGTGATCGATGTCAGATTGACACATTATAGGTGGAAACAGCCATGTGTGGCCCAGCATGTTTGCTCTCTAGTACCTCCATCACTGCCTGACCCATGTGTAACTCTGCTAATTATACAGCCCTAAAGTTATACCCTGTGTTTGTGTATCTGTGTGTATGTTTCACTAGGAAAATCCCACCTGGCCATAGTTCAGAGAGTGAACAATGAGGGTGAGGGAGACCCTTTCTACGAGGTTCTGGGTATCGTCACCCTGGAGGATGTTATTGAAGAAATCATCAAGTCAGAGATCCTGGATGAGACTGATTTGTACAGTAGGTTCCCCTCTCAACGGTTTAATACTTTAAGGCGTCACCAGCCTGCTGCTGTCAGCGCACTGGTCTTAAGTCCATGAGTTATTATGAACTGATGCAAGCCATGCAGTTTAATAGGTCTGTTACACCACTGTGACTGCTCAAAGCAATCTAGTTATTCAGCCATGGAGGACGACAGACATTACTGTGGAGCTGAAAAGTTATTCATTATTAAATCCTAAAAGATGCTAAAATTAGTTTGAATATAATGAGTTCCAATTAAATGATAGCTGCACTAATCTACATTTTTGCACAGACAATGGATTGAATGACTTTTTGAACATGAAAGTTACATAAATCCTATTACATAAATCTCATAAATCCCGTTTTGAGAAGCAGCGCTGGACGCTACGTGCCAAGTGCCAAACGACAGACACGCAACGTTAGCAAATCACTTTTGAACATAAAGGAGCATTTAGAAAATGAACAGTAAATGCTGATCTGTCATATCAAGGTGTAAATAAGTAACTGCTATCAAGTTAGCCATTACCATGTAGAACATACTGTACTGTATAATACTGTATTTGTCGATGTTGCAGTTACCGGGTGTCCCAGGTGTTTCACTTCAGACTTTCTTAAAAGTTGTGTTCCTGTTGCACTGAAAACCCTGCATCACATAAAATTGTGAGCTGCAATGCACTGTTACACCTCTGATGATATTAGTAAATGCATGCAGACGTGGAGTGCATGCCATTCACCTGTGCCTGCATACACAGAGTATGGCTTTAAGTAATGCTAAGAATGTCGTGCACTAGCAATGTAGCACCCTATAGCTGCCCTTTAGTTCTGAGAAGGACTCCACAGCTACGCTTCTGGAAAAGACAGTAAGCTTTGGGTGACTCCAGTTTAGTCACCCTCTGACCCTGGACAATTAACTCAGTATCTTCAGACTGGTGTAGACTGACCTTTGTCTATTGCAGAATAAAAGTTTCCTTTGGTGTCTTATACCCGACTTTTCATTTTCCTTACTCAGCTGACAACAAGACAAAGAAGAAAATCACCCATCGGGAAAGGAAGCAGGATTTTTCAGCCTTCAAGCCTTCTGACAATGAAATGAAGGTTAAAATATCACCTCAGCTTCTGCTGGCTACCCTTCGTTTCCTAGCAACAGGCAAGTGGGCTGCGTTGCTGCCTGACTTCCCCCCAGTGTGCCCTCAGCCCCTCACTGTGGGGACAGTGTGTGTGTAAGCTGTTTGTGAGTGCATGTGCCCGTATGGGCTTTGAGTTTTGGGCAAGTGGGTGTACGCAGGAGTGGGTATGTGTGTAGAATGAGTATCTGTGGTGTGTGCGTGTGCGTGTGTGTGTGTGTACCGTGTGAGGGACTGCGTTTTGTGAGGACTCACAACAAGCGTGTCGTTATGCTTGTTTGTGTATGTTTGTGAAGAGGTGGAAGGCCTCTTGGGAGCGCAGCACAAGATGCTGTGTGCACAGATCATCCCCCTGCATATCACTCACACCCACCCACCCCCCGAAAAACGCAGCCGTCCATTTGCTTGCATGTCATGCACCAAAGGTTACATGGTGAGATCTTAGCTCACAGCTTTAAAAACACCACCCTGTTTACTTACACTCATTCCTCAGTGACATCACACCCAGCATTTTTGGCCTATGACCAGAGTTCTCACACATGTTGATGTACTTAGTGTAAAATTCAAAATATTTCACCCACTTTCCCCTGGGAAATGGATTTCTGAGGAGGCAGTAAAATATTGACGTACTACTACAGCAGCAGCAGTTGGCTGCTCACTGCAGTTGAATTTGCTTTAGAACTTTGAACTAGCAGCTGAGCATTGATTATGTTCCTCTGAAATCCACTTTCAACTAGTTCTTGATGGTCAGCCAGCTGACACATATGTCCTCCGCTGAGTTGAAGGAGCTGATCGGCCCATCGAGTGGTTGAAGCAGACCAGTCATGATTAGGATACATTAATTAAAAGCTTTAAATGAGTTTTTGGTCAGGGTTGTATGCTAGTTCGCTCAGATAGGTGCAGTAAAAGCTTGAATTAAGACAGCAACAAAGTATTTAAATTATCGCAGGAGCAATATACAGCAGTAGTTGAACGTCACCATAATCAAAACTCAGAATATTGCTCTATTTGGCTACCTGTTCAACTCTGTGGGCCCGTTTCATCTACGAAAAGGGCACCACAGAGCTTCAACTTTTGCTTGTAGGTGTAGATGTCAAATTCTACTGTAGGTGATGTTACACTGTCCGGTGCAATGGAGGGTGTTCACCTGGACAGCAACCTGCAGAAAGACCCTCAGACAGAGACATTTTCCTGAATACTTAACTGGAGCCTGTAAGTTGGCAGGCCAAAATATGCCATTAAATAATAAAAGAAACAACAGAACATGGTATCAAACTGGAAAGCCATGATGATATGGTGATTTTGTAATGGATTTAAACACAAAGCTTTGTGGCCGTGTGACCGATATGCTCCTGTTTTAATCAGTCCACCTGTCTACGCTGCTGCCGTGTCGACTCCGGTATCACTCGCGCTTTATGCACCCAACACAGTTACAACCAGAATTCCACCAAAATAGACCAACATTTAAGTTTAGCTAGACACCATGACTGAGGTTCCTGTGGTGAGTAATCCCACTGAACATACAGTTCTTTTTAAAGTGTTGTGTATTTTTTTTATTTAATAGACCATGGGTTTCATGATCCAGGTCTGCACAAGACAGAAAAGTGTTGTGTGTTGCTTTGTGTGCTCCTTGTAAACAAAGCCACTAATACAATGCTACGTGCTGCACGTGCTTTGCTTTTGCTGTAGACACAGCATTATAATCATTTAGACAAGAAAAGCAGCAAATTCTCACAAAATGACAAAGGCATTTGAAAGCTTGAAACACACCGATAAATAATGTTAAAAAACCTTTTTACCAATATATCACTGGATTTGTTTTCACCTCTCAAATATTGATTATTCATACCTACCTCACAAGCCAGTATCTCTTAGTTTAATTAATCATTTCCTATTGCTCACAGTCTTCCTCTCTCTCTCTCTCTCTGTCTCTTCAGAGGTTGAGCCATTCTCACCGGCGCAAATGTCAGAAAAGATTCTGCTGCGCTTGTTGAAGCACCCAAATGTCATTCAGGAGCTGAAATATGATGAGAAGAACAAGCGGGCAGCAGAGCACTACCTCTACCACCGAAACAAGCCCGTGGATTATTTTGTCCTCATACTGCAGGTGCGTGGATTAACTGAGGTACAAAGTGAAGGAGCCGTCATGAGATTTATTCCAAAGTAATGTCCCACTACTGGATCTCTGTGTTTTAAATAAGTTACTGCACAAAATTCATTTCACTTACCAAAGAGTTATAACAATGTTTGTACTGTAACGAACCTGCACTACTATATAGATAGTACTACATACGTTATAGGCATGGATATGCTGCTGCAGTGCTACTAGGTCTTGTTTTCCTTGGTCCTACAGCTTTTCACAGTAAAGCCACACATCTAACAGAGCTGTCCTGCAGGGGGTTGTTCTCACAGAGACACACACATCCTAAAAAACATGCATGGTATGATCATATGATGACAGTTTGGATTAAAAAAGCAACAGTACCATAGATAAGCAGCTCCTTGCTAATACAAATGTCTGACATAAGGGATACACCATTTCAAAGTACACTTACCTTGTGGTTAATCCATAAGAAACTATCATACTGTATTGATTGCAAACTACTGCCAGTTGAAAGCATCATACATAGCATCTGAAATATGTATTTCCAAGGTTTTTTTTAACAATTCATAATGCATTGTTCCTTAAATGGAAATTTAGTTGAAAGTGTAAACACCAACAGCTTCTAGCTTTTCATACACTTTGAAATCCTGCCAGGGAGCTACAATTATATAGTCAAAAGCAGATCAAAACAAGTGCTGTGGACCTTCATGTAGCCTTACGTTTTGAAAGCTGCTCTGAATGTGCGCTCTGCCTCTGAACATGCGCCAAAACAGAGTCGTCCTCTTTTGTGGGAAGGAGGGTATTGGGTCTTTGATTAGGCTCGAGGTGAGGGGAGGCCCCAGATCACTGGGTGACAAAATGGCACAGTAGTGGAACGCTGCTTTTTTTTTTCCCCAGTGTGTTACTGATGTTCATATCCTTTGTATTTCCCCCTCAGCCAGTCCACTACATCAGCATGTGTACTAGATCAAATGAGGTTCAGGTGTGGGGTCACTACTAGTCTTAGGAGCAGACTGAGAGCTATTAAACAGAGTATGGATTTTCTACAAGTAGTAAAAAAAAAAGGGGGTGGGTGGGGGTTGAGCAGGGTGCATAATTATATTGGACCAAGAAAACAACCAAAAGACATCCTAGGTAGAAGTGCTGAAACAAACATACTGTGACTGACACAATGAAGCACTAACGCCTCGTACAGAACATCCATACATGCAGTCGCGGGTTGATTAGAAATGATATGTGTGCTCTTACTGTGACAGGGGAAAGTGGAAGTGGAGGCAGGAAAAGAGGGGATAAAGTTTGAAGCGGGACCATTCTCCTTCTACGGGATGATGGCTCTGACGGCCTCGCCAGGTAGGAGCTCTGACTAACGCATCCTGCATTTGTCTCACTGTATGTTTAATGATTGCTCAGTTCTTCTGAATGTCCCTTTAAATACTCCGTTAGTCCAACATGAGGAAAATACAGTGATGAAAAATTGTTACTCATTTTTGACAAACTGTAGAGATGCTGTTTTGAGATGCTGCATTCATACTGGGATCTACTGTAGCTTATTTACCAAAAAAATAACAACTCACAAATAGGGCTGTTCACCAAACCTCACTATTTTATTGCTACCATTCAAAACGTGTCCATTGCACCAAGTATCAGAAACACTCACAAACTGAAAGTTAGCACTGAATTCTCACTTACAGCAGCGTCATTCTGCTTCTGTTATTCTTTGATCTGATTCAAATAATAATTTTGCCATTATCAACCGATTTTATTTAGATTTTTTTAGGAAACAATTTTATGTTTTATTGAAGTAAAGTATTGAAAATAGTACTATCCACTCCTAGTCACAAACATCCTCATTCCCGTAAAAGCCAAATGCAATGTGAAATCATTGTTACCTTGGGTGATAAATGTCTATAAACAGCAGTTAGCTGCAGTGACATCATGTGATCCACTAGATCCTCTCAGTTTATGCATAAACTACAATGCTATTTTCAGCTTTTCTCAGCTCTTCTGTTTGGCTTGGGTGGTGGGATCTGTGAGACACCTACTGGTGAACTAGAATCATCTCCCCCTCTCTGTGTAAAGGCACATCCGAAGTCAAAAGCTTGATGATTCTGTATGATGGAGCGGTAGATGGTGATTGTTCAACCTTTCTTTGATTTGACCTACAAGTCAGTGGCAGTTTAGCCATTGTCTCTCTACCAGATTGAATCCAGGTTAACTATTGATGTAGGCATTGATTCGTTCTGGCCTTTGACAGACATTTCTCTTCTTTTGTATCTTCCCTCTCTCCCCCAAGTTCCTCTGTCCTTGTCTCGCACGTTTGTGGTCAGTAGGGCTGAATCACTAGCAGGATCTCCAGGTACAGTGGCCTTTTATGTGTATACATATGCCCATCTTCACCTCTAATACCACACTAACATTTTCCTGTTGACAAATTATGCACCAGCATTTGAACAGCACAAGAACTTTTCTTGCATTTGGAAAGTTTCAACTTGTCTGTAAACTTGAACTTGCATGCTTTAGTGTTTCATCAGTTTGATCCTCATCATCTGCATGAGTATTTGTTTTTTGTTTTTGTGTTGACGGGTGCATGTCTGAAAGTCTGTTTTTAGACGTACTGTATATTCATGCATATGTAAGTGAAAGAGACAGAGGGAGAGAGTAAAATGGATTCAGATTGAGACTTAACACCCTCATCCCCTCATCCATTAGTCAGGTGGCTGAATGGTGTTGGAGACTGGAGGCCCCAGAGCAGACCCAGGCTCCGCCCCACTCGCCCCTAGCCTTTAACCCTCTGACTACATAAACAAGGCCGACAGCTACAGCCCCCTGCTGGACGCCACTGAGCGCACATACAAAGACACTCGCCTACACATATGTTCACACACATAGGCACATGTATCCAGAACACACACACACTCTACACACATAACTATGGACACACACCCACACGTTTCTGTAAATGCTGCTGAACAAATATGCTTTCTGTCTGTCTATAGCAGTGAACTACAGTGGACCCCTTAATGTTTTGTTAGTTGTTTTTTTTTGCTCAGTGTGGTGCCACACATGTTGGAGTGTGTATCTGTGTGTGCATAAATGCATTATGTGTGTATTCTTGACACACTGACATTTTTCTGAATTGATGTGGCCCTTGCAGCCCTTAGAAAGTGGAGTAGTAATCTGCAAGAGTTCACACGCCAGGTCTATGGCCAACTGCGCTCGGTTTGCGCGCACACACACACACACACAGTGTCTCACACTCTCCCTCTTACGTACACACATATTCCAAAACGGGATTACATACATTCCAGTCGGCGTAGTAGCATTAGCGTTGGCCAAGCTGTTTCCACTTTGTTGTGAGTGATTTTCGTTAGGCTTTTTAAGAAGTGGAAAACATAATCTGGCTTTAATTAAATGTACAAAAAAACACTCTTCTGTATTGTAGCTCATAGAAGGAAGCAGCATCACTGGAGACCACTGGCTGATTACATGCTATATGAAACTCCCCTCACCTTAAGACTTGTGCAGAAATGAGATTTTCATACAGTATCTCAGCAAGCATCTGTGTTAATATACAACAGCTGACCTGAAAAAATGTCAGCAATATGCAGCCTCTGGTTCAAATGCTGCTGTGCGGTAAAAATCACTGCAGGGAAAACTGTATCTTCACAGAGTGTTTTTGTGTCTGCAAATATCCAAATCTGCTAAGTACTTATGTCCAAATAGACAATGTGCTGTTACTGTGATGTTAACATCTAATCAGACAAGAAAAAACATGACCCCAACAGAAAGTGTCATACACACTTGAAGGTACCGTAGCTTAGAGAAGTAGTCAAAGTCCACCCGTTGCTGGATGACTGGCACCACAGTTTATTAAAAAGTGATTGTAAAGTCGGAGCTGTAAAGTCTCACAGCTAAATAAGATCAGGTTAACTGTTTGCACTCCTCACTGTGGTCTTAAATTTTTCCTGTATGAGATCATCACATACAGTCTTGCTGTCATTCTTGTGAAGAATTAGTCTCATTGAATTCTTTCTTCCCAATGTGATGTAAAAATATGTATCTAATTTGTCTCATTTCATAGCATAGCGCAGCACGGGCCATAGTCTGAAAGACAGACCAACTCAACAAGTCTAATAATGAGTTCGGGAGAGAGCAGACTGCGACTAAAGGGCTTCAAGATCAAATCAATGATGTCACATCATTACAGGGTTTTAGGTCTCCTTTACATATATATTATTTTTCCCTTAAAGAAACAACTAACACACCCAATGGTAGAACTGAGTTAGACTACGTTTCCACCCTAGAAACTGGAACCAAGTGGAACAGTGTCTATCTATGCTCATTATCTAGACTGGAATCCGTTAGTCCTTTGTCTTATAAACATCTTGTCCCTTACAGAGAACAAATCTCCTCCACGGCCATTTGGACTCAACCACTCAGACTCTCTGAACAGAAGTGATCGTATAGATGCCATCACGCCGACGCTCGGCAGCAGCAACAACCAGCTCAACTCCTTCCTGCAAATCTATGTTCCTGACTACTCAGTCAGAGCACGCGCAGACCTGCAGTATATAAAGGTGAGAACACACCTGGGTGAGAGAGCACAGCTCCCACTGAAGCACACAGGTGTTTGAGAACAACACTGAAACTCTCGTGTTGAAGCTGCTGATTGTTGAATTGAGGTCATGAAGGTTCTTGCAAATGGTTACTAGGCAATTTATTAATAGCTTAATTAGACAGGAAAACAATAAAATGTCTAACAAAATATCTGACATGAAGACAAATTAACACATTCGCTTATTTAAAGTAGATGAAATTTGAAAGTTCAATAATTTGTATTTGCTTAGAATTAAAACAAAAGATTGATATAGTTCTGTACAAATGAAAAGATGCTTATCAGTAACTGGATTTTAAATTTTTTAAAATTATATCCATAATCGATTATTTATAAATGCATCAATTAATCCCTTAAATTCCCAAGTGAATATCAGAAGTTGTTTGTCCAATTATTTCTATATGAAAAAAGACGTAATGTGACGGGGTTCGCTTGTAGAGTTGGACCTACAGAGAATCACCACTCGACTCTCCAGCTCCCCTAAAAGCCAATTCATACTTTCTGCGTCTTTGTGTTTGCTACGCTCCAGCGAATTTGGTCATCTTCCCAGTTCTGCGAGGATCCACAAGGGCTCTGTGCAGACATCTGTGTGCAGGTCATAAACTCATTGTCTGTGCGGACTGTCCGCTCAACAAAAAGCACCAGAACGTGGGCGTTCATGAACAGAAGGCTGAAGAAGTATGAACAAGAACACATGTGCGTCCTTCGTCTGTGTCTGCATCCATGTGAGGGTGTGTGGAAAGTATGAAGTGGCTTTTAGTTGTACACAGTGCTTTAGTCTGTTTGTTTCATTTTTACAGCCCAGCAGCTTTAATGTTTTGGTTCACTATCAGCTCCCATTAGTGGTGTTTCAAGACGCAGCAGGCAGCTGGTCTCAGCTGAGAACATAGTAGAGCATTTAGTGCTTACCTCAGGAGTTACTGGAGACCAATATTAGACCTAATGATTAAGTAGCTGTTTGCTAACAATGTCCCCTTAACATGTTTATAAGGTGATAAAATGTCAGTATTGTGTTTTTGTCCTGCTGCCCCACAACAATCAAAACTGTATGCAGCTTTGTTTATAAGTTCTACCATGTATTTAGTTTTAACCGGATGGTTCGTCATGTTAAATCATGATGTGGTTTTGTGTGTACAGTATATGTGAGACTTTCAAGAGGGCAGAAATGAATCCTGTGGGAATCGAACCCTCTGTGATTTGATTTTTATACTGAGTTACTACTTTTATAATTAGCAAAAATGTTTATTGATTTTCTTTTTATTGTCCAATTTTTATTGTTTTATGGTCATTTGAAAGGCTCTCTAGGTTTGTAGCACCTCAGCGTGACAGGTATTGCGAGAATGTTTTTACATAGCTGCTATGAGGAGTAACATTCATTAAGATAGACTCTGATGAAACTGATTATTTGACAAATATGTAATAAAGCCAGTATTACCTGTGCTTACTGGAAATCACTGTATTGGGATTTAGAGATTCATGTGCACCTTCCAGCTCTCTCTCCCATTCTGTACTATAAACAGCAAGGCAACCAATCATAATCTGTTTCTGTAACATTTAGCCAAACATCATCTTCACTGTTTCCTAGGTAACGCGCCAACAGTACCAGAATGCCGTGATGGCATCGCGGATGGACAAGACACCCCAGTCCACAGACAGTGAGTTCACTAAGATCGAGCTCACACTGACAGAGCTCCATGACGGAGTAGAGACCCCCACTGTTGTCACCACCACAGCCAGCACCACCAGCACCACCCCTGCAGTGGCCATAGCTGTGGCCAACGAGACGTCCCACCTGCTCAACCAGCAGCAGAACTGTGTGGGCCTCAGCAGGAGCAACTACAGCACCCACAATGAGGGACCCATTTAGCCTCCGCTGAGCCCGGTGGAGACCCAGACCCTCCACCCTGTCTCATAGACACACACAAAGCGGTGGCATAGATGGAGATGAGGGATTGTGGGAAGGCGGAGGCGGGTGGAGTGAAGGTTCTGCTCCAACCAGTAGCCCCAGGTCAGTCAGTGACACCCTTTCATGGAGGGGCGGTGGCAAAGACGGGTGTTGCATCACCCTGAATGCCTCCACCTGAATGCTGTCAGATTCCCTGCTGTACTCTTACAGAGGGTGCACATGGACAGTACCTGTGAATGAGCTTCTTTTTTGGGACAATCTGTTATTTTCATAGCAGTGTGACTTGGACTAGAGGACAACAGAGTTCATGCAGACCCCGTCCCATTATGCTACACATACACACCCAGCGTAACACAATACTTGTACGTTCTCCTCAGGCCAAAGACGTTGGTCCCCCTTCTTACACTGGACACAGACTGTTTTTGCACACATTTCACATTCCCACACACACTCACAAATGCAGCTCCCCCACCCGCGCATCTTTCAGGGAGGCTTAGTCGACTGTTGATCCCATCAGCGAGGACTCAAACCCAGACATGCAGAGAGCAACGATTAGTCAAAGACTGCACCAAAAACCGCTTTGAAAGAAACCGTTGAACCATGAACCAAGAATGTTTTCCTGTATTTATTTATTTTATAATATTGTATGTATATATGTATGCATGGAGATATGATATGACATAAAACTGGCATACAAGCATGCACATGTACACAGAGGTGTGCGTGGACCACACTTGTCATATCAGAAGAGACATGCTACATATATGGAGATGAACATCCATTCATGTATATGAGGAGGTGAGGGTCTTTTACAGATACAGTATGTATATTACAGATCTTATTATTTTTACTATTATCCTAAATCAGGCTTATGGTACACTATCTTTTTCACCTTTACAACAATCACACTATTGCCTTTAAGAGAAATCATGATTAATTATTTTAACAAAGTGCAATGAACTACAGTTTATTTAAGAGATGATTATGAATTTAAAAAAATCACTGTATTATAAATTGAAAGATATATTTGTATGTATGTATTGTATGTATATGTATATTTGTTTTTGAAAAAAGCTAAACTGCAGCCACCCACAAGCAAAACTGTCATTAGCCAGTGTCTTTCTCTTTGTCTTTGTCATACGTTTGCATCCTTTGACCTCAAACACATCTATTATATGTTCCAATGGGAGCTATGGTGCCTAGCCTTGTCACCACGGTGTGGTTTGGGGTGGGGGTGGTTACCTACCAGGTGGTAGTGTAGAAAGTGTAGACATGGCACCTATGCATGTGGAGGTTATGTCCTTTTTGCCAATTTTATGAATAATCAACTTGATAATTGCACAGTATTAATGACCTCATCTAACATATTGAGCATCATCAATGCCACAAAAAGCAGCCTCGACATTAAATGTGTCCATGAAATATACACAGCTATGCTTTTCCACTATTTATGTGTGTGAACATGTTTTTTGTTTCTTTTTTCCTTCGTTTTTTTTTTTTTTTTTTTTTGCGGGGTGGGGGTGCTGGGGCAGTTGCACATGTGTGCCTACAGAACATATCCTGGCAATTCAGGTTAAAAAGGCTATTTTCTGACAGCAGTGACTATAGAAGAAACTAAACTTTACTTGTTTTGGCTTCTCGCACAAAGTAGCTTATAACTTATACTTAAAGTAATAATTCTTGAGTTAATTCAGATCAAAAATATATTCTTCACAAATGTTGGCTGCTATTAGAGATTTTTATATTGTTCTCCTTTTTCCTTAGAAACAATGTAAGTATAAAGAGTATGTTTATTTCACAATTTCACGACCACACAATCAAAGAAGAGTTTGAGCTTTTGGAAAATACTATATATTTATTCACTTTCTTATCTAGAGTTAGAGGATACAGAAGAAGATCAGGGCCACTGTAAAAAAAAAAAAGTATATGAGTACAACTTTCTTCTGCACAGTTCTGGCTTTAAGCTCTGAATTTGGACTTTTTCTTCTTTTTCTAAGCTGACTTTTAAAAAAAGTCAGAATTCTGAGTTTAAAGCCAGAATACAGAGAACAAAGTCATAACTCAAATACATTTTTTACAGTGACCCTAATCTTCTTCCATAAAACAAAAAGACTGATACCACTCCCATATTTGACTGATGAATGTACAACTACAGCTGGCAGCTGCTTCGCTAAGCGCTATTGATAGAAAATCTGTCTGCATACTTACAAAGCAGGAAAGAGGCCCTTCAGATGCCAAAAACATAAATTTATTCCATTTATAAGAAGTGATGCAGTCTAAAAAAAGATGACTGTTTTGGTCAAAAGATCATTGTCAGCACAACTGATAGCTAAACCTAACATAAAAACTGGAAACTGAGGGAAACCAGCTATCAATGGTAAAAAATTTATAAACCTGCCTACCACCAGCTCAAAATTATTTATTCCTCGAAATTACTGGACTCCACCAAGAGCTGGAAGCCGACCCCTTGTAAAACCTCAACTTTTTGTTTGTGCATTAATTTTCATGTGAAGTCTCGTTTGAAGTGTAAAAAAGTCCAATTGTGAATTTTATCGCTGTTATATGTCAAACAATTTCTTAGAACATTGTAGGGACTTTCTAAAGCAAGTCTTCAGCTTTGCCTTTTAACTCTGGACAGAGCCAGCCTTGCTGTTTTGCCATGTTGTTAGCATTTTTTGCTAAGCTAAGCTAATGTCTCCTGGCTCCAGCTTCATATTTAACATATGGATCTAAGAGTGGCATCAATTTTCTTATCCAAGTGCAACAAGAAAGCAAATAAGTTAATTTTCCAAAATGCCCAACCATTCTTAAGTTTTTTTACTTTAGTACTTCTTGCCCTTATTACCTCAAAAACAAGTTTTAAGATACTGTACGTGAGCTTGAAATCTTTTCTAAAGCTGCATGAGTACAATAATTCTGTTTATATTGTATCTATTGGGGTGCAGATTTTGACTCTAAAATTATTTTTGCTTCCACTTCCAGGCCTGTCCATTAACATTTTATGTACTGTATGCTAGCTGTTTGTTTGCTACTTTACAGGCAACATAAAAGTATCCTAAAGCTAAATCTGTCTTTAATATTCAGTTGTAGCTTGTAGCCACTGGTTGTCACTGTTTTCTCATGTAACTGCGTGTGTGTGTGTGTGTGTTCAACAGCCACTGAAAACAACACACATGAAAAGAACAGGCCTTCCATCTGTTCAGCTACAAGGCATAATCACACCTAGAATATGTCTGTGTTGTTTGCAGCTGTGTTCGCTGTTGTTAATGTTTACTTGTAAATGCTCCTATGCAGCAGACCCGCTCTGCAGGGACAATCACTCCAGATATAACTCAGTGAATGATGATGCTTGTGACATTCATACTCTGCTTTACGAGCTGCTGGAGCTCAGTGGCTGACAGGAGAGAAGCATGGTGACAAATCAAAAGTCCAAATGTACAACAGGAAACACTGGGGGAAGCATCAGCTCTGACTGGGTTATTTGAATACTCTGTGATACAGAACACATGCATGGTCTCTTTCTTTCTCACACTCCATCCTCTGCTGAACATCAGCATCTGATCATGTGAATGCTTTGTAGATCAGTGTTTGACTGGTCTTTTGTCTCAATGCTGCTACCGTACCCATGTGCTGTCCACGCTGCTGCTTCTACCTGATGACAACATTCCCCACGTCTCCTCTAGCTGGTGGTTTAATAAAAAAGTGAATGATTAACAGACGACACAGGTGGTGGCTCAGTGTACTCAAACTAAACCTCTGCTGATTCTTTATGTTTGTCCTACGAGGCTGCGGGCATGCTTTGGCAGCAAAAATATACAGTTACCAAAAATTACAGTGACTAACTTTTGAATGAGCAAATATCACAGTCTTGGTCTTACACATTTAAACTTTAAAATAGCCCTACTCCAATTCACTCTGTAGCCTTACTGGGTCATATACGGCCAATAGCAAATTATGACTATTGTTAGCTTATTTTAAACAAATCTTACTGTGTATTGCTCTACTGTAGACAAACTAAGGAGATAGAGGCCTTCATAGAGCTCATCAGTGCAGCAGACAGCACGGGGGGGCTGTGAGAGGAAATTGTCCGGCCTTCCTGGACTGTACTGCACATATGACAGTAGCCCGTCCATAGAAGTATATAGGAAGCCCACACAGACAGACCAGTATTTACTCTCTGACTCTTTCAGTACGACCCAGCGAGATGTGGATGTGATTACAGCTGCCATGGGTGAACAGAAAATACAAACCAAGGAAACAAGGGATGATGTCTACAAAACTTGCGAGAGTCTAATAGCCATAATGGATAAAATGGAGCATTTGGAAGCACAGTCCAAGCGAAAAAACCTGATCTTTGAGGAAATCAAGGAGTCAGCTGGAGAAAGCTGGACGGATGCGGAATGAAAGGTGAAGGAAATATTAAAGGATAAACTGCAAATTCATCAAGAAATTGAGATGGAGCAGGCTCACAGAGTCGGGAAACCTTCTGATCGGGGACCGAGGGCGGTGATGGTAAAGTTGATGGAAGAGAAAGATCAGGCACACATACTGCAACAAGCAAAGAAGCTTAAAGGATCTAATATTTATATAAATGCAGATTACACAGAGTCTGTGAGGAAGAGAAGAAGGGAGTTGATGCCGCGGTTTAGGGAGGCCAGGGAGAGGGGAGACATCGCGTTCCTGCGGTATGACCGACAGTGACCCGTCCTCGGAACCAGAATCCAGGACCCATGACCAGCACGCCGAGGACCAGTATACCGAGACAAGGAGAGTATGAAGGGGTCGCTGGACCCTCAGCTGTATGAAGTAACACGCAGGTAGATTGATATCTGCGAGGGCAGATGAGCGTTGGAACCAACAATTAGCAGGAACCAACAACAAGTATGACCCACGTACAGAATGAGGCAAGTGATTTGCTACAGAGGTTAATAGTTTTTGAGGGACTGGATCTGGAACTGAACACAATTGGAGACAGTGAACAACATTATCATGAATTGGACGATGACTTTGACCCTGAAAAAAACTTTTTTAAGAACTCTGAAAATAACTGCAAGTATTACACGGATGAGCAGTTTAACAGCAATGTTAAGATAACAAATTATCATTAATTCACTTTAATAGCAGAAGTTTTTATGCAAACTTTCAGAGTATAAAACATTCTCTTAGTAGTCTGACACATTCTTTTAATATAATTGCTATTTCTGAAACTTGGATGAATAATGTAAGGGGAATGGATTTTGACCATGATGGCTATGACTTGGTATGCACAAACAGAGAGAATAAGATGGGAGGTGGTGTGGCCTTGTACATAGATAAAAACTTTTGTTATAAGAAAGTGAAGAAAATGTCAAGGGTGGTGGATAATTTGCCGGAGTGTGTGACTGTAGAAATACTCGTGGAAAAAAAGAA